TACTTTTAATACATTTTGGAGAAAGAATAAAAGAAGTGTAGAAAGTAAAAAGGGCTTTGAAACTTGAAGTAAATCTAAAGTTGATACTTGTATTGTTAGCTTGGACAACCCAAGTTCAACAGCAAAAGAATAAAAATAATGAAATCCCGTTTGTGAGATTTCATTTCACCTTCAAAACCTGTCCCAGAAACAATGCAGGAAGTGAGAGAAAATCTTTCCAAAGTTAGGGGAAATCCCCCCTTAAAAAGCTGTCACTGGAGCAGGTATCCCCATTGCAAGATCTCCCGTCTATTCCTATTCTGGTGGCCACTGTAAATTTTTGGATTTCCCATCACTTCCTTTAATGAAGAGGGAGAATTCCCTGTGGGAGAAGATAGATCAATTCAATTGAAAGAAGTTGGAACACTTGCTCATTCTATACAACGCTAACAAAAGAAAGTTTGGGCTTTAAATAAAACAGGGCAAATATACTTCTGTTCCTCACGTTATTGAATTAGCTTTGAGTTTTGACCATCTGATAAAATAATAGGATTCTCATTGGTTACTAAAGGCAATTTAGTTCCATATGCACTCAAGAAAAATTGTATTCACCAACATACAGGTGAAACTCGAATAATTAGAATATCGTGCAAAAGTAATTGCAGTAAGTGCTGCAAAAGGGGCCCAAACCAAGTACTGAGTACATATGCATGCTTGTACTTTTCAGAGGTCCGATATTGTTCTATGTACAATCCTTGTGTTATTGATTGCATGTAATAATCTACTTTTTTGAGGTTGTGGATTTGGGGTTCTTGGGGTTTTCATGGGCTGTAAGCCATAATCATCACAATTATGACAAATCACGGCTTGAATTATCTTGCTTTGCATGTAATGAGTCTATCTCATATATTAGTTTCACCTTTTAAGTTGCATTAGTGAAATAAATGAACTTTGCACGATATTCTAATTATTCGAGTTTCACCTGTATTATGCAGTGCTGTATATTAAATAATACTAACTCCAGACAAAAAGAGTACAGACAATGACAGGCGAAGACTGGCACCCTGCTCTAACATACTTACAACTCAAGAGGCAGGTAGAGGTGATATTGTTGGTTACTTAGTGATTATGGTAGAGAGGAAGACAGGAAGGCAATATTGAAGAGGTAATATTTAAGAGACAGCTGACTTGCACTTGAAGCGCATACACAGAAAAGCCATCTAAATGAGCCCTTCAAGGAAACCTGTACCACAAGGAATATTAAGGCGGCAATTAGCAACTTTTCTGAAAATGCCAATTGCCTGGCAATAATGCCGGATCTTCTGACTTCAGTACTTTCTTTGTCACTGACCTGGAATTGCATGCAGTGCATCAACCTGTGGTTTCAATTTATGAAGTTATGAGCTAACCCCATCGTCTCCAGCCTACACAAGCCACTCCAGGATGTGTTATTCTTAAGGGAGTATTGGAATAGGATTAAGTGTAGAGTTGTAAATAGTTACATAGTATTTGAGGTTGAATAAAGACATTGGTCCATCAAGTCCAACCTATTAGGATCTCATTCTAGGAGTACCTGTACCCCTGTATATTACCTGTACCCCTGTATATTACGGTCCCTTAAGAAATCGTCCAAAAGTTTCTTGAACAATTCCACATTATTTGCTGAAATCACCGCCTGTGGCAGTGAGTTCCAGACCCTAACTGATCTTACTGTGAAGAACCCCCTTCGCCCCTTGTGCTGGAATTTTTTTTCCACCAATTTTAGGTGATGGCCTCTAGTTTTTGTAACGGAGTTAATTTTAAACAGTTTATCGCTAATGTTGCTTGAATTCCAGTCCACTAGAGAATTAAACTTCCTGCATATATCAGTCCTCACTAAGACTTATCATATGTACATCACAATAAATCGTGGGCTGTGATAGGACAGGCAGCATACGACACCCTCTCCTCTATGACTGTCTCTGCAGCCTCTTACCCCCTCTTCTCTCCTGTGTGACTGTCTCTGCAGCCGCTCAATCCTTTCCTGTGTGACTGTCTCTGAAGGGTCTCTCCCCCTCCAATCTTCTGTGTGACTGTCCCTGCAGCATCCCACCCATCTCCTCTGTGACTGTCTCTGCAGCTTTTCACCTCTCTTCTCTCCTGTGTGATTGTGCATCTGCCTCCCCTCATCCTATCTTCTGTGTGACTGTGTCCCTGCATCTTTCCACCCCTCTCCTCCGTAAATGTGTCTCTGCAGCCTCTCACCCCTCTCCTCTGTCAATGTGTCTCTGCAGCCTCTCCTCTGCTGTGTGCCTGTGTCTCTGCAGCCTCTTAAACTCTCCTCTCTCCTGTGTTGTTGTACCTCTGCAGCCTCTCAACCCCTCTCCTCTCTCCTGTATGGTTGTATCTATGCAGCCTCTCACCTCTTCTGTGGGCTCTGTAGCCTCCCAATTAGCAGTGTTTGTAAAAACCTCTTTCTTATTAATGATTGCCTATTTTGAATTCAATTTCAATTATAATCTAAATCCAAAGTATTTTACAAATCTTTGCTCATCTCTTTGTGTTGTGGGTAACAATGTGTGCAACACTCATTCTCCTGCACTGTATTTTTCCTGCATACTCACAATATGTGAAAGGAAGATTGTACAAACAACTAAAAATGTCATGGGAGCAGAATACTGTAAGTACCTGGTCACCATTTGTAAATGACAGAGTTATGGCACAGGCCCAATCCCAAATACACTCCCTATAAGCCATTGGATTTCAGCCACCTGTAGCAACGGCTGCTGCCCCTGAACTGTTTTTTTTGTGGCCTTTAGGATCAATTGCTCAACAATGGTGTCCGATTCTCCAGCTGCTGTGCATGCCCCTCCTCTATATTTGTGTTGGCTTTACAAATTATCTATAAATAATGGCACATGCGTGTGTGCACAAATAGAACACATAACAATTCTGTAATTGTAAAATTACACTATTCAGCGTGGAAAGTCACATTAAAAGTCCCAAAATACCTCAAAAAAAATCCTTTTCCAGGTGGGTTTCACTGCACCTTACACGACCAAAGCCTAGGCATATAGTCACATGATCTCTGTTTAACGTGTATTTCCACTTACGCAGCCAAATTGAGAAAACACCTATTTTATATTTGTTACATGTTCCCATTCACACAGCATAAGCGAAAAAAAATGCTTCTTGCAGTTTAGCTAGCTTTTACTTGGGTTAGGGTTTTAAGGGTTAAAACTTATTTTGAATGTTAGGAGTTATTTTTCAGTATGCTGTGTGAATAGGAACACAGAACGAACATATGGAGGGGTTTTCCTAAATTTGACTGCAAAAGTGGAAATATACGTTAAGGTCAGATTTTAGATTAGGGGATCCTCCCCTAGAGCAGAAATCATGTGAGGGAGGCCATAAAACTGGCAAATCACTGCAAGCACTTCTCTTTGGTACTCATAGTATAGCACAGCTTAGTGTTCTCCGTGGGTACACTAGACAAGTCTATGTACACTATGAACACGCTGAGACCACTCTTGCCACGATTCACACTTGTTCATTTTGCATGGAAATTTGCAAGGAAATCTAAGTTTCCCTTACCTTGTTGAATGTTGTGTAATTTCACTTTGCAAAGAATACCCAATCATGTGCAGTATTTTTGCTTGCACATGATTAGAAGATGGACGTCAGCAGAGTTTCATCTCATTCACTAAACTAAAGCTGGCCATACACTATGTGAATTTCGGCAGTTCTCGATGAACTGGCTGAAACTCGCACAATGGGTGTTCCTGTCAGCACCCTTTAGGCTGAATGGAGCTTGAAAGCCAATCTACTGCAAGCACCGTTCAGGTATTCTGGCAGCAGCTGCCGGCTTCTGTCAGAATCCACTGAAAACAGTGGGGGATTTCTCCATCCATGCTCGTAAGTGTGATGGAGGACATTGTTATATTTTCTTTACTTAGCCGGCAGCTTGAATGAAGAAAATATAACAGTGTATGGCCTGCATATGGAGAAACTTCCTTTGCAAAGTGCAAATCCCCCATCTATAAGATCAGCCTACATATTTGCCTTAAAGAAGAACTATAGGGTTAAGTCTTTTCCCCATAGTTCTCCTTAGGGTAACGGGAGAACACAAACTAGCGTCCTCCCGTCACCATAAGCTCAGTATACCGCGAGCTGTAGCTCGTGGTATACTGAGACGCCGCAGCTGAAGCAGATCCCGACAATTGTGCAGGGATCCGCCGAGCTGCGTGACTGACAACTGGCTCTGCCCATCTAAAGGCAGAGCCATCTGTACCTGCCCCCTCCCCTGTCCGTTCCGCCAGCCAGCGCTGGCGGATCGGAGCAGGGAATCCAGCCCCTCCCCTGTCATGGCAGAGAGCCGTGCCAGGATCGAGAAGGGAGCGAACGCCGGTATGTGTTCGCTCACCTCCCGATACTGAGCCGACCTGTGACAGTCTCATTGTCACAGGTCCGCTAGAACTATGAGGTGAGTGAAAATCACTCACCTCATAGTTCTCCTTTAAGTAAATCAACCTACACTATCCTTATCTGCAGAGCCGGTAGAACCTGTGCACAATGAATTGGCTGTGCCAATTACATTTGCTACCGGTTGTGCACATGGATTAACCGGCATCTACAACAGTAGTCTCTAAGAAAAAGCTTTAGTGACTTATTTATTAGTTGTAAAGGCCATAACTACAACTAACCTTGATCACCTTCACACACGTCAGAACACCTAAGGAAATGTGCACACACACAAAGCTGTAGCATAATATTAGCTATTGTAAGAATATAATCTCACTTGAAATGTTTGACCTAATTTTACACCATTATTATAACTGGCCTCTATCATAAGTAAGCAACATGCTGTCCTCATGAAATTTAGACTTGAATGGATCAAATGTCAAGCTGAGTGCCAAGTAAGAATTCCAAAAATATATATAATTTACAGAAATGTAACAGCATAAAGCACAGCAAAAGGCTGATAAGAGACATAATGTTTTCAGTTCACATTCTGTATGTGTTGATGTTTAGTCTGTGCATACCTGAAAGAATCCAGGAGGAACCGGGCCCACTGGCATTCCATCTCCCGGTGGCATATTTCCCAGTACGGGACTGGGCGCAGCCGCAGCACTCTGTAAGAAAGCAAAACCCTGCCATTAGCCTGGCTTATCTACAGACCTGTCACTCTGGTTAGTTTACAAGAACAATCTAGTTTAACATGCAGGCAGCGTGGTCATAGGGCTGTCCCAAATCTCCTCCTCGTCCCCCTGGACCCAGTCAGGGCAGTCTAGTTTCCATGCCACTTACAAGCAGAGTGTGTATTCTGGGCCTGGTGGATGATATTGTGCCTACAGCAGCGTTGCGCACTCTGCTGATTTACTTATTATTCTATGCAAGAAAACTCCTAGTCCTTAACTGGAGGAAGGCGGAATCTCCAACACTGGGCGCATGGAAGGCGTTTGTCAACACCTCATTGCCATTACACAAGGCAGCGTATACCGGCAGGGGGTGCCCTCAGAAATTTGAGAAGGTATGGTCTGAATATCTAACCTTTTAAGATAATCTTTATAACACACATTTGTATTTCCTGATGGGCATTTACAAGCTTTAAAATACTATGTAAAGTACTCTGCGCTAATTAAAAGGCAAAGTGGGAGCTGCTAAAATCTTTACAGTGACTCTGCCATGAGAAAAGTATTGGGGCTGCCATTGCTGGCTTCATACCTTTATACTACAGATGCAGAACAAGAATGTTGAAAATGAGTTCTAGAAAGGTGTTACATTCCATATGTTTATACTTGTTTGGGGTCGGAGACCCAGAAAGCATTAAACCAAAACATCAACATAACAGTCAGCAAACTAAGATTCTCAAAAGGTGAGGTCAGCAATGGCAGCCCCATACTTTACTTATGAGTCACTTTAAATCTATGCATGATTTTACCATGTGTCCTTGCAAAAGTAGGGCAGTGCGGACTATGACACAATACTCGTTACAGCCCATTCGCACCATGGCATCGTTTTTAACACACAATACCGTATTTAATGCACGCTGTCGCACACTGCACCTAGTTGATGGCACCATGCGCTAAGTTCGTTGACATTCATTTGAATGGCACCCCAACACACCTCTTGGTGGCTACGTGTTGCAGCCAGCATGTGGTATTGCGAAACCATGCTATGCGGTGAAAAAAAAGTAGTGCATGGGGTTCCATTCAAATGAATGGCAGTGCAACACAGCAAGTGCACAGTACCGCATGGTAGATGCTCGGTGTGATAGTGCCATGGTGTGAACAGACCCTTAATACCAGCCTTCTCTACTACATTAAGCTGACATCATACATAGTTGTTAATATTTTAAAAACACTTCCAGGGACACAAATGCTGACCTGGAAAATTCAATATATATTAACAGTGTGAGCTCCAAAAACAAATACTAAGCATGGGAAATAACCTGAAAGTCAGAGATGCATATCAGCGACATATCATAGAATATATAAGGCGCAAAGGAAACTCCAGTTTTTTTCCTTGCTCAGAACTACAAGACCAGGGAAGATTTAGCGAGGGAGGAAGGTCCATTGACACAAGGGGAAGGAGGGCAGGGTGACAATCCATTTCTCTCCACTGAAGCCAGGAATAATATGAATGGTATATATTCTCTGCAACAGCTGCACAGGGAACTATTGAAAATCTTCTATAGGATCTAACTCTTACACAGACCCTTTGGACTGGTTCACAAATCTAACCTCAGTTATACTGTATATGACTGTGATCTAGGACATGAAGCTGAACTCCAGGCAAACCGCTTAATACATAGTTGTTGTGACACATATCTGTCAAAGGTTTTGTGTTTCTGTCCATCCATTCCAAAGAGTTATACAACACGCCAGACAGCAGAGCCAGATTGGTGACCTGACCTTTCTTCACTTCTACCCCCAGCCTGTGATTGGACAGAGAAGCAGCGTCCCCTGTCCTCCCTTCTCCAGTCAGAATGTTTCTTGAAAGCCTATGAGCACTGAGGCACACCTGATTGGCTTCTAGTACTCTCCCTTTCCCAGTCAGAGCTCTACTGGGATTACAAGAGGCTGATACCAAGACAAACGAACGTAGAGTAATCGTTTTACAAATACACTTAAAAGGGTATTTATGGTCAAAAACTAAAATGAAATATGTATTTCTATATTGAATTTCTATCCCACTCCTAATGACCATTTTGATCTAGAAGTTTGTAAACGCCCATAGGATGTACTTCCTCAATGCAGCCCTTGGAATGTGCACTTGCAAATCACAGAGCCTGCCTTCTGGATTACAACTCAACATCTGAACAATGTAACATTATCAATGCTTGCTGGAAGCAATGTATTATGGGCTGTGTAGTCTTTAGAAAGTGAGATTGCATCACATCAAGCAGCAAAACAAGGAAAGAGATGCAAAGCACACTGGGAATCCAGGAAGTTGATGAAAGTGATGGGCAGGCGGAAAGCGGTACTCACTACATAAAATTGATTTTTTTCAAGTAAGCTTTGATTGCTTACTTATTATCAAAATTATCAATAACAACTCTACTATGTATTCCTATTACAATGCTGATGTTATAACAGGATAATGTATACTAGGACTTTACAACTCCTTTAAAGATTTTTTGATAAATACATAACCACATTAACTGCTGCTTTTATGTAGATTTTAGCTTTTTTTTTTTATTGTTTTTATTAAGTTTCATATAAAACAAACAGTACAGAACAGACAATTATCACTTCCCAATTTGTGGGCAACACGGTAGCCTTATGAGGTCAACAGGGACAATGGAGCCTACGCCAGCAGAGCCTTCCAGGGACCCCGACGCCCACCAGTAATCAGGCTATATGCTCCCTGCCCCGTCACAACCACACAGGCAAGAAAGTACACAGTACCCAATGCACGCTATCCACTGACTAGTACCGCAGAGAATGCTTCTAACCAAGGTCCCCAGACCTTATTAAACTTTTGTGGGCAAGCACCATGTATATATGCTGCTCTATACAGTGGGATAACAGATTCTATTAATCCTCTCCAATTTTCCAGGGTGGGCGGGGCTGGCTTTTTCCAGTGCAACACTATCAGTTTTCTAGCATAAAACAGTAAAATCCCCAACAGTGTGCTAGTGGCAAGGGTAGATGTAATACGCTGAGTAAGACCCAGTAAGCAGATTCCCATCTCCGGCTGGATGTCTATCATCAGGAATTGTGATATGAAGTTTGCGATCTCCACCCAATAGGTTTTAATAGCCGGGCAGTCCCAGAACACATGGCTAAATCCCGCAGGGGAAAAGGTACACCTCCAACATGTCGCTGAGCTTGTAGTATATATCCTGGCCAGTCTCGCCGGTGTATAGTACACCCTGTGCAACAGTTTATACTGTATTAGTCAATCCCTGGCCGAAATTAAATGTGTGAACGGATAGTCCCAGGCCTCCCTCCATTCCTCCTCATCCAGATCCAGTACCTCCCTACGCCACTGTGTCCCAGTAGATTTTAGCTTTAAATTTCCAATACCAGAAGAGTGTGCAAAAATATGTAAATGTTACATGTGTTATAGTCACTGCCCCCATCTATCTACATAACAATCCATAGCAATCCATCAAAATTGTCTTCTTTGTCGATATGAAAAAAGTTATCTGACTGGTTGTTCTTATGGGCATCGAAGGCCCCTTTTCTGCCAAACGGTTTCATAAAAAAGGCAGATTGTCTGCCTTCCTACTTGCTTAAATAAAAAAAAAAAAGAGAAAGATGCACAATCTTGGAAATGTCATCACTTTCCAGCCACATGTCCTGCTGTCACGTCCGATATTATGAATGGGAAAGTTACAGAAGTGTTAGTGACATTTCCTGACAGTCCTCTAAACTAAAACAATGTCACAAAAATTGAAGGAAGCAGAGATTTCAACTGTATTTTCAGTAAACAAAACTTTTCTTCCTTTTCTCTTCTTTTTTTTTTAACTAGTAGAAATCTAGCTGTTAAAGCTGTACCTTAGACAGATCTAAAAACACCAATTAATCTTGCTATGGATTTATTAAAAAATGTTTAAAATACATTTAAATGTGGTGGTAGAAGTACCTGATTTTTTTCTTTTTAAATTAACTTCCTGCATTCCCCTGTATAGAAGGCTGGGAGAAGAAGAATCAGGCTCTTTGCCATTACAGAGTGCTGTCAGTCTAGCAATAGCAGCATTCTGTCAGGAGGAGAAAGCAGAACGAAGGTCTCACCAGTATGATAATGTTCATTCACTGTCCAATTAAAAGGCTGAAGGTTGATGTATTGCTTTACTCCACTGGAAAGAAGTGTGCTCATTGACCTGGCTTATGTTGTTGGGCAAGAATGTCAAAATCAAAAATCTGGCCGAACAGGATTACAAATCTTTTGGCAAGCAAGACAATGTATGCATATGTATTTCAACTGCACACTTTGCAGGTTGCCTGGAGTTTAGTTTTAAAATAATAATTCGGAGTCTCAGAATCAAATACAATGACTGCTTGTAATCCTGATGAACATGGGTATCAAAATCTGTTAAGGAAAACAAAAATGCAAATAAAAGCATTAAAGCCTCATTTTCCTAGATTTGATTCCCCCTTAGAAAGAGTAAAGCTCCAGTTTTTATATCATTATGTATAAGTGTATAGGTAAATAGATTCTTCGTCACAATAATACACCGTTACATTGGCAGTGAATTCCTTTGAAAACACTGTGCAATGTTAACCATTTTAACACCCACTTTGCAGTATTTCACCAAGGATGTCTGCATTCCTCAGAGAGCTTACTTGGAAGACAAATAGGAATCACTGATCCCTCCAGGGCTTTTCTCAAGCACACGTGGGCTTATGGTGTGTAGAGGAAAAGCCAGAAGGATCAAGCATCTATTAGCTGGCACTACATGCGGAGGGCGAAGGCTCACTAAGTAATGGAGAGGCAGGAGTTAACTACACAAGCTTTTTATGCAAGTATAGTATATGCAAGTATATCAACAAGGTATAAATACAACAGTGCAATGCACAGAAAATCGGTTTAAAACCCTTTCCAGATATAAACATATTTTAGAAGATACCCAATCCAAGAACATGGGGTGCACAGGTCATGGTGATGACAGGTGCAGGTTATC